CCACTGTTATAAATTCTTGTCTTTTAGAAGCCAAACTTTCTTAGCCCGTAAAACCGTTATTATCCCTTATATTTTGACATTTTTCTGGATTTTCCGATCATTGATTCGTGCCTTAGTGTCGTCATAGACAAAACTGTCACCTCAGTACAAGCGTATAATAGGCAGTCACTCGTCTGAAAGAGCGAGGTTAGTGTTTTTTTAGGCATATGAAGATTTTATGATTTCTAAAACTTTTACCGATGTTACGCGGTGAACTGTTGAAGACGAACTTTATTTATCGAATAAATTTCTGTGTTCAAGAAGTAAATGTATCATTTGTTCATTGAGCGACGACGTTGTTATGGTACGTTAATATGTAACTATACCATGATGATAGTAGATGTGCTCCCCACTAAAATGTTCATGACTTACGTAAACGTTGAATTTATTTCCTCATGACGGTAAGCATACATTTGGAAAGGATTAACATTTTAACAGGTTGTATTCATGAATGATTTTCTTCCCTCTTCATTTTTCTCTTACAGACTGTTTTTTTCTCGATTGTGTTATTGTTTCTTGCTGTTGTTTGTTTTGTTAATAAGCTGTATCCCAGTGAGTCGAGCATTTGTTTAAATTTCATTTATAGTAATTGTACGTGATTAGATTTTGTCTTGATTGATTTATTCACCAAAACCGAAAATTTTAATTTATATTCCATTTATTGTGTCTGAACAGACGGTAGATGTGTTTCAGTTTTCAAAGAAGGTAGGCTGTAATCTTTCCATTATGTCATCTTTTCTCTGATCAAAGCTGAAAGATTCGATGCTGATCACTTTGAACGGAGGTATCAGGACTGTTGAAAGCTCAGCAACTTTCGCCACAGTTTGACAACAAAGACAGCAAAAACGATAATAAAAGCGGTTTTAAATTTGGACATCGTTTCTTAGTCCCTGTTGATGAAAAGTTACATGTCTCGTATCTTGTCTAATGAGATATATGATGATGATACCTCTTGGGATTCCATGGTTGGCAGAAGGAAAGACAAGAATTAGATTCTTCATTTAGCACAGAAATGACGTGTCGATCGAATGTTTAACGGCTCTCATTACGGAATAGACTGTGTTGTATTCAGTATTTGTACATGTGATTCATTTGCACAGCACCTTGGACTTCGCTGATGACTCTTGTTAGTTATGACAGTCAAAACCTGTATATTCATGGATGCACCGTTCGCCCTGCTTGCATCGATTTCAGCTAAACGTGCACTACAGTCTCCCGCATGAAATTTTTTTCAGGCTTCTCCTTGTTGTTCTTCTTCGTTTTCCTCTTTCTTCCCTCTTGTGCGTTTTCTTCGTACCTTTTTTATTGTTTGGTCCCTCTGATTTCACCAGTTTCATTCACGTTCTTAGTTCACCTTATGCTCTTTTCATCACTGCCTTGTATGAAACAGCCGATCGTATAGCCGTTGCCGCATCTGCGGTACGTGACCTTATGGACATTGATATTTTCTCAGCAAAGCCACGTCCATTTGTTGCACCGTAAAGACAAAGTGCTGACCAGATCATTACTTTCGAAAGCACTTGTGGAATTCTAAAATTCGGCATTCAGTACCATAAAGGTCGTGAAGTATTTTCCTTGAATCATTCTTTAGCAGAAGGACGAAATCACGATATGTTAAACCAAGTTGATAGGGTATCCTGCATTGTATTCTGACAAAAAAAGTTTCTGACCTGATATTTATATTTTTGCCATATGCACAACATGGATGAATATCAAGAATTCTGTAAATTTTAGAATTTCGACGACGAAGACGAGGAGTGGCCAGCAGTTGGTAAAAGTGCTTCATCTTCGTCGCGGTCGAAGCCAGTGATCGCCTTTCCGCCAAGTAGAACGCATTCCCCACTTTTGGGTGCTGCTAAAGCAGAGCAGCACAGCGGCCAGCTTTACTCCAGCACCGGTGTTCCTATATCAACCGCGGTATCGTCATCAGGTCTTCCCGATGGCTCAGCACCATCACAGTCCAGGCATACTGCAGGTTGGATGAAGGCTGTTCATTAATGTTCACAATTTAACAGTGATTTCAGAATTTTCTTTTGGTAAGTCCTATGGAAAGACCTTACGTGGTGGCGTTCCGTTGGTTGGCGAAAGTATGGAATGGGCAGACGTGGCAGGGGAGGTGCGTATAGTTTCATTCCTTAGGTGAATTAATAAGGTACTTAATTTGTAGTTTTGTTAAAGTCAGAGAGTTAAACACATGACGTATAAGGGATTAGGTCAATGGTCGACTTCAGCGTTCTACACTGTACATGGGATCAGGGTTGCCCGGTCGATAGAGCTTCGGATTCAAAACCGGAAGATCCAAAGTTTGAGCCTCAGTGAGATTACTCGTCTTTGTTTCTTCTGAATTTATATATGATTAATACTCTCCAAGACGGAAGCAGAAGTCTCTAAAATATGCTTACCACAGAGTTTTTGTCGTCTCATTTTGGAATTGAGGCTCCTGACTGAAGCCGTGGAAGTGAAATCGACTCACCACCAATCATTTCATGAAATGAAGGGCGTTAGCAATGGGCCAATCATAAAAGTGCAATGATGGCATTCCAACAGCTGCAAACAACTTACCTTTTTATCTGACCAGTGACGTCATTATCTTCCATTCTTTTTCCCATGAGCAGTCTTTTTCCTTTTAGACAAACCGCGGCATTTTCAATAAATACAATGTAGATGACATCCTTTACGAATCTTTCCATTTTGGTTTATAATCAATATGTATTCTAAACTATGTTTCCTTGAATGGTGTATGAAGCTCTGGCAGTTACTGATATCGCTGTTCCGTATTCCTACCTTTCTAGTGTTCATGATGGAAGTGTATGACTCCTGTCGCTCCTTTGCGTAGTTGCCACATCAAACGATCTTGATTTTCGTGTTTATTTGCTCTCCTACGCTTGATTGCCAGGAATCGATATTTGACGTAAGATATTTTGCAGAATCCGTCTCCCTGAAACGATTTTTTTCACTGCATGTGTGCTGGTCTGTAAACGTCCTTTACCTAGCTAGCAGGACTGATGAATAACTGATTAGGTGACATTGAGCATATTCGGTCCATCGAAAATATCGGAATATGCATCAATAGTACTTGATGTAGTCGAATACAGTAATTTCAACTTTTGCAGACGTCCGGTATTCATTTTATTATTTGCTATAACGTCAGACATTGTTGTATCCTCCTACCCAAATATCGTTCTATTGCACCTTGCCATTCGTACTGCATACTAGTTGTTCGTTTTCAGCAGAAATATTAAATGGAAGCAATAAATGCTCTATTGAGGGATTCTGCTAATTTCAGTCATTAGCAAATTCGACAGAAATCAGATTTATCCTGTTGTTTCCAATTTGCTAATTACGAAGATTATTCTAATGCGAACCCTAGAAGACTAATCACTTTTTTCATCGAAAAGGCTTGTTCCGCTTATCCAGATAACAGAAATACTTAATTAGTTTATTAATAATAGTGCTATCATGCCCAGAAACTGGTTATGTTATCTTTCAACCCTTCCATTCCTTTCCACTGTGCCGAGAAATTTCGTCCATTAGAAAAAGTGCTAGTGGTGACCAGTTAAGAATGAATCATAATTATGTTCATAAATCTGCGTTGCTGTTTGTGCATTAAATTATTACCGTCCATGTTGACAGATTGTTTATTTGTTGAAACTTTTCTTGGTGCTAACAATTTCACTGTAGCAGTAACGAATAAACATTTTCTCCATATATACAATTGGTTGATATTTTGACTACTGTGGTTTCCATTGGTTGCTGAATTGAATT